TCAGCTGGCTGGTGTCCTTACAGACATTTTTAACACCTCGCTGGATCAATCCGTAATGCCAGCATGCTTCAAGTCTCCCACCATTATTCCAGTCCCATAGAAGCCTCAGGTCACCTCACTCAATGATTACCGGGTTGTCGCACTGACTCCAATCATGACGAAGTGCTTTGAAAGGCTGGTTAAAGAACACATTGTCTCCAGTCTGCCGCCAACATTCGACCCGTTCCAGTTTGCCCTACTGACGAAACCACTCCACTGAGGAGGCCATCTCTGTTGCTTTGCACCTGAGCCTGGCACACCTGTAGGAGAAGAACACCCATGTGTGGATGCTTTTCCTGGACTTCATTTCAGCTTTCAACACCATCATCCCACAGCATCTGATGGGCAAACAGAAACAGCTGTGATTCAATACACCCCTCCGTAATTTGCTGCTAGACTTCCTCACCAACAGTCCTCAGTCAGTCCGGGTCGGACAGAACACCTCTGATGTCATCATCCTAAGCACAGGGTCCCCTCTGGGCTGCGTCCTGAGCCCCCTGCTGTTCACCCTGATGACACATGACTGCGTCCCCAGGTTCAACACCAATCACATCGTGCAGTTTGCAGACGTCACCATGGTGGTGGGCCTCATCAGAGACGAAAATGCCCTGGACTACAGAGAGGAGGTGGAGCAGCTGGTGGACTGGAGCAAAGATAACAGCCTGATCCTGAACGTGGAGAAGATGAAGGAGGTCATCTTGGACTTCAGGAAGAACCGGCTCAACCATGCTCCACTGGTCATCAACAGCTCAGCTGTAGAGGAGGTCAATAGCACCAAATTCCTGGGGGTGCATTTCACAGACACTCTCAACTGGAATGTAAACACAGCCTCACTTGTCAAAAGGGCACAGAAGCACATGTACTTCTTGTAGAGAATGAGGAGAGCCCACCTGCCCCCACTCATCCTCACCACCTTCTACAGAAGAAAAAAAATAATGTTAGAACTGTAACTATACAGTCATATGTTTACATTACTGTTTTTCATAAAAAAAAAATGTTGCCCTGCTGCTTACCTTATTAAGGCTGCACTTTAAAAAATGAAATGTTCCAGAGTGCTGTTCTTAAAAATTATTTTTTTTTGTTTACTCTTGTCTATACAAAATGACAAAATAAAATCTGTCTAAGTCTCTCTAAGTCTAAACATTTGAAACTTGTATAAGAGTTCTGTTTTTATTGTGTTCTGGTAACTTGAAGGGTTTAACAGTTTCCTCAAATTGATTGAGTTAAAAAAAGTTGGGACAACTAAAAAATATAAATTTTGGGGGATTAAAGAAATTAGAAGGTTAAGAGATAAGAATAATAATGTTAGGAATCCAGTTTGTGTGGGTTGTGTCTTTGTGTTGTTCTCCCCCTCCACCACCAGGTTGCGCCCTGTTCTCGTTGGTCCTCCCACATACCTGCAGCTGTTTGGCTCATTACTGAGGATTATTTGAGCGGTGGACTGTCACTACCTCGATGCCAGAGTGTTTGCCAGTTTTGGGTACTCTAGCCAAGCTGTGTTTTGCTGAGTCTAACTGAGTCTTTGTTTTTCGCCGAGCCTAACCTTGTTTTTTTTTGTCTTTGCCTTTTCGGAAGGAAGCCTTCCTGCAAGCTGGATGTTTGTCCTTCTTCCCCTGGAAGGATTGTTTGAGCCTCACACTGAGCACTGAGTCCTCCTGGATTCCCAAGTGACAGTCCGCTCAATAGCTCCTCAGGATCCAACCAAGTCTAAACCTGTCCACCCTCCAACGAGTCTCTACCTCTGGATAAACCCACACTAACTGGATTCTGGGAGAAGGGGTCTTCTCAACCAACTTGAGTCCTGTTTTCTCTGTCTTTCCACTCATCGCTTAAAGTTCCCATGAATCTTGAACTAACCACTGATACTTCCCTTCCCTCTTCCAGTTCCGGTTCACCAGCACACTGAGTTTCCTGAATCCTACCCCTGCTGTCCTTATCAATAAACCTGTTTAAACTTTTACCCTGGTTCTCTGAGTGGTTTACTGCACGTGGGTCAGATCTCTTAAGAAAATCATGATAAATAAACTTAGTTTCACCTCTATCTTAATATAAAGATTTATTTACATGAAATAAATAAAAATGTTCTCAAACAAATGTGCTGTTTTTTTGCTGGGAACAATATAATCTCAGATAACAACTGCAAATCCACTATTACAGTATTTTAATTATTGCTCCTCGGTTTCAAGAGAGAGAGAAGTGGCAGGCTGTTTGGTCTCTTCATGTGGTTCATTAAACTACATTCAAACACTGACATTATAATATTATAGCGATACTGAAGGATAAATATCCGTGATTGCTATCAAGTAGACTCATTTAATATTATTTTTCAGTTGCATGTGTTATTGGAAAAAGTCTAGGTCTTATATCAGAAGAAAAGAATTTGGTGTTTTTCATGTAAACGGCATTTATTGATCCTTGCCAGAGAGAACAGATACAGTAGAGTCTCTGCCAATGTTTTGATCAGACAAAGATTTGAACAGGGATGAGTTTCACATACAAAGTAGACCTATTACCACACACAGAACAGTTGGTGATATGACCTTGAAAAAAAGGAGTTTAGCTTCTCAGGTTTGAGTTTGTTTACAAATTGAACTTTAAAAACTCGCTTCTCGTCCCCAGCAAGAACATTAGCACCTAGAATAAGTAAAAACATTGAAGTGTTTGTGCTCAGCAGCCGACCAATTAGGGAACCTTGATCAGTTATAAGCTTAACATGTGTGAATGTTTACAGATTAACAAATCATAATTTCTGTATAGCTTATCATACACTGTACCTTACAGGGAATCCAATCATACCGGTCGATTTCAGCTGCCACAGTGGTGTTTCTTTGAACCTGTATCATTACCTGGTTCGATCCTGCTGTGGCAACAGATTCTCCTTTACACCTGTTAAACCCAGTGGTATTAGAATGGGACCATCAGTAGTATCGGTATTTTTCTAAGACAATTATAACAGTTAGTCATATTTTGTCCTGAAAGTTTAAAAAGGTCAATTCAGATATATAACAAAGGAGCAAAAACATGTGCAGTGAATCAAACAGAGGCAATCTTTTCTTTTTTTTCTTTGTTTCAATTTAAACATATCTTTGTAAGGAACCATTTTGTTGACCTCAGACTCAAGCTCTTCTTTCTTTCCCTACTTTTTTTTATTTATTTTTTTTATTGGAGGGATATTTTGAAACCTAATATATGTTACAAAATCACTGCTAAGGAAATTAACCAATCATTGTATTTGGGGTGAAAAGTTGTGTGGAAATGGTTGCATGTGTGACATCCTGATCTAATAGCACAGAATGTTGTACCCTGTTGGCTTTGCCTGATGTCTTCCCCGAATCTAGTCTCCAGTGGGTGCTGCTGCTAGATGAGGTCACGACATCAGAGCCTCCAAGGATCTCGGCTCCCAGTGTTTCTTCCCTCTCATCTGATTCAAACTCCTGCTCGCAGATGGGATCACTCACAGCACCTCAAAAGAAAACTTTGGTTTTCTGACACTGAAGGAGTTTTCCAGCTCAGCAACAGCTTATTGCATGGGGTGGTGTGAGCTAATCTTTAAGATAATCTAGCATCCCTTTTTTGGTTATGGAAATACTATCACCTTTTTTTTTTTTGTTAACCTAAATCCACCAGGAAATGTTATCACAAATTCTTCCTCCCACCAGCTGTAAGATTTTATAACCATCACTGTTCCCAACAACCTCAATACGTTGTAACAATCAGGCTGATTTTTGCAGTTTCTTTCTTAGCCAATTAAAAGTATTGTGGAGGATTTTTGTACATTTTTTAAAAGACATATGCACAAGCCTATTTCTCCTTGTGCACGCTTTGTTTAAAAGCTTCTGTTCTAATAGCTCATACTTAGTGTATCCGAACGTCCACCCTAATAAAGTTGGACTATGAAGTTGACTTTATAGAGAACTCAGATAACTGACCGTTTGGACAGCCCGTTGGTCACGTCACTCCTCCTCCACAGCGTCGTGCCTGCGCCATCTTTGTTATCAGTCACCGCTGTCGGGTAGCGAAAGTCATTGGTGTCAGCGGGCCGCTGTGACAGCAAATCCCAAAATGCTTTGCTTTGGGATATATCTGCCTCTTTTGAGGCCTTTCTTTTCTTCTCATACACTTCGTAGACACTTTTTCTCTTACATGTATGACCTTTGTCCATTTTCAAAGAACGGTGATGAAAAAGAAGAGCTTCAATGAATGTCTGAAACTGTAGCTCACCACACATATACGTCTGAAAGTGTGCATGCACAGAAAAAGATAGCTAACTGGGACAAGCATGTAGGACCGTTAGGAGAACCACTTATTTATGTGATCCACCTGGAAATAGAAGATCGTATCTATACCTATAAGTAACATGCTGCTGTCATTTTTTTGCACATATCTGGCATTGCTGCTATTTTTCACATATCCATTACTGTAAAAATGTCCACAGCTTTTAACTGATTATTTATTCTCCAGATACAGAGCATTTGTATTGTAAAAAACACTGCACAGTACAATACCTTGTTCTCTTCACACTGTCACTTATTCTGTTATCTTTAGACACTTTAACACCACAATTTCCCACATTTTGGGATAATAAAGGGATTTTCTTTGCTAAAGTTATCCTGTACATCAGATTAAAAAAATTAAAATAAAAAAGACCATAAAGGCAGTCCACATCATTAATCTCCCTTGTATGTAACATGCTTCAAAGCAGTCCGTCACAGAGACAAATTACTGATTTCTCTGAATCATATAAAAATTAGGTCTAGCTCTACGGAGGCCAGTGTTTTTGTTCCAGCATGTATAAAGAGTACAACTTAGGTTTACACAAACAGCAGCGGTAGTAAGATCTGTTTGAGCTTCACTGTGATGGAGTAATTCCCTATTTCAGAGAATAGCGGTAGTGAAAGTGCAAGAACAGGATTTTTCTTATATCAGTTCTTGAGGCATCTGTGATGACTGAGTGTATAAGACGTAAAGGGGGTGGTGTTCAAGACAAACAGGAACACTCACAGATTCACACTGAGGTGGAGAGAATCCCTGCAAAAAAGTCAATTTGTCTAGTTTTTACAATTAGAGGCAAACATGAATCCTACAATCCAATGCATCGTTCTTCTGACCTGCATCACCATCTGCAACTCAGCATGTAAGTATGCTGTGCAAAGATGTTTTTTCTGTTAAACCCTGTAATTAAAAATATGTATATATAATGCAGAAAATGTTTGCTTTATTGGGAATAAACTGTATTCTGTGCAAAGATGCTCTCTACTCATTACTTAAATTTATGAAAACTATATTGGTTGGGTTTAAATTGCCTTCTTCATTTACAGTCATCCCCAATCGCTGCATGTGTTTAAATAGACTCCAACGCATAAGGCCCTCTCTCATCATGGATGTCATAGATTATAAACCTCATGAATACTGCAGCAACCATGAAGTGATGTAAGTACCTGCAAAAAGAAATATCCAATAGGATCAGAATAAACACTAAGGATTTAATTATCATTCTTTAATTACAGAGTCATCCTGAAAGATGGAGATAAGCTTTGTCTTGATCCAAACTCAAAGTTTACCAAAGCTCTCCTGCAAGCAAAAAAAGGGTAAGGCAAGAAGTCCTTTTCTAAGAATACTTGTCAATTAAGTTTCACATAAAGGATTAAACATGCAATCATGTGCAGCTGCAGTAGCTGCCATGCATTGAACAGCCAGCAGGGATCATATTATCACATCTAAAGTGATAAAGTTTTTATTGTTTTTCTACTATCAGTAGGAGCAGTAGTCTATTAGAGTTCTTAAAAAAATTGAAGGTTGTGTGTGTGTGCGTGTGTGTGTGTGTGTGTGTGGGGGGGGGGTGTTAAGTCGTTCTCATGGTTTTCAGTGTCTTAATAGCAAATACCAGTTTCCCTCTACTTTACACTTTTCAACTGTTTCTGTGAGACCATCACAGACAAATTCACTCACACATTTACTGTAGGTTCCAAGATGTGGTAAACTGTTAAAGAGGAAATTTAAACAATTTAGGAACTAAATATCAACTCCGTTATAATGCACTGAATGTTTGCACAACAAGTCTTCATTTACGTTTGACTAAAAGCTACTCATCAAACCTGGAAGTCTAGTTGCTAAAAGTTACACAGTGTTGCTTTAAGTTTATGGTTTTATTTTAAATTGGGGTTCACTTAATAAATGTTGACAGATTTAAAAAGTTGGTTCACATTTTTTCTGCCAGGCTTGTTAAGAGCAGCACAACCCAATCACCACAGTCTCTTCCAGAAAAGTCAGAACCACAAGCTTGGCTCACATCGGTAAGTAACTCTTTTGAAAAAGGTTAAAAAATGGTTGAAAAAGGCAAAAGAAACACTAGTATAACACCACAAGTATGGTCTATATAATGGCATCAAAAAATGCAGACAATACTTCATATGGCTTAAATGTAAAAATCATTTATTTGTTCAAGTGCTCTACTTTTTTTTTTCTCTTTTCATCCCTTCTTCTTCTCCTTGGACAGGATCCCACTGCCAAGTGAGACTCAAAGCTCCGTGCCCAGTCAAGCTCAGGTGCCTGGGTGCAGAGCGCTCTACTGGGATCCGCTCAATAAACAATAAACAGATCCTGGGACTAGATTATCTGAGATCGGTGTACACTGTATTGTTTAACTAACCTTTTCAAGGTATGATTGATACTGTATTCCACCACTTTTAGCTCCTTGCATTATCTCCATTAACCCCATACATATTTTCTTTAGGTCTCATTTCATTACCTAATGCAGATATTAACTAATCAAAAGCTGTATCAAATCATGCATAACCATGTGCCTATTGTTTGTTAAATGTTGCTGTATCTCACAAATTATTCCTAAAATCAGATTGGTAATCCTGCACAGTGGTTTAGCTGCAAACCCCCTAATGCTATGACTGACTTTCTTGTATTGAGAATTAATTTGATTTGTAAGATGAAAATAAAATAATTTCACGTTGTCTTCATCACATGATCATGAAGTTAAGACATTATTAATTCATTAAAAATTATTCAAAGAAAGGAACAAAACTGTTTTTTCTATGCAATACATTTTTAGATTAACCATCTGCATACACTGCATGTCTGAAAAAGGAGAGCAAAGACACTTTGGATGTGGTGTAGGAGTTTATTTCAGAGCATTTCATAAACCATTGACCTGCTAAGATTTACATGAACAGTGGAGACTCAGGTTTATAGAGAATGGGCCAAAAAAAAAAAAAAGGAAGATACTCAAAACCCACCTGATTGCCGGCAACCATTTTATAGCATTTACAACTAATAACTCAGAATGCATGAAAATTAAACTGGTAAAATTTTTACCAATATAGACATGTTAGACATCGTTGGAAAGCTTAGATTCTCCACAATTCAACCTTGAAGTTCATGTTATGGATACACCAAACACCAAAGGACAGTTTACACAGATATAGCAGCATGTCAAAATCTATAGATTTCAAAGCAGCATACCTTTGAAGCAGTGTGCGTTTTTTTTTTTTTTTTTTTTTAGGCAGGGGGGTCACCTTCCTGACAGCCTGGAGAATGAAGCTTTTTGTGAATCTGGTGGGGCGGGCAAGAGCCTGAACAGACACTCAGTCAATGACAACACATTCACGCACAAAGACTGTCTCTCTCTCTGTCTGTCTCTCTGTCTGTCTCTCTCTCTCTTTCACACACACACGCATGCAGCACATATACAATCACTCTCAAACTCCAAGGCTAGGCTGCTTCACTAAGACCACAACAAAACACAAAGCCTACATACAGGACAATTTATAAAATAGCATCTTCGGGCGCTAGTGAGCAATGGAGGAGTAGGCAGCGTTTCCTTGGAGCTCCTGCAAATTAGACATATTTTTAGTACTAAATTGACATTTGGACAACAGTACTATAGGAGTAAGACAACTCTAGACTTCATTTAACTGCACCAGGACATGAGGAAAGCAAGTTTGAGGATGCAGACCTCCAACAAGGACAAGAAAGCGAAAGAACCGGGCTCAGCCACCCCGGACTCGCCTGAAGCTAGCTATCCGATGGCTAATGCTACCATTCTGGATGCTATAAACTCCCTCCGCACAGAACTACAAACCACCAAGTTTGAAATTTGTCAAACAATAGACACCCGCATCGAGGAGGTGTCCGCCACTATCAGAGGAGAACTCCTCGCCCTCAAGACCGAGACTCAAAATGCTATTCACGTCCTGAAAACGTCGAGCGACCAACATGGCACATCCATTGCTGATCTAGAACGAGCGGCCACACAGTCAGCAGACGCCATAACCACGCTAGAGTCGGAGATAAAACGTCTACGTGCAGAAACGAACCAGCTAACAGAGAAATACATGGATCTTGAAGGAAGGACCAGACGACAAAATATACGGATTGCAATGTTAAGAGAAGGAGCAGAGAAAGGCGCAGAACTGAACTGATTCGCTTCGCAGCTCCTAAAGGATGTACTGACTCTGGATGACTTACCACTGGTGGATCGCGCTCATAGAGCTCTAAGAAGGCGTCCAGACGACACGGGACCTCCTCGGACGTTGGTGGTGAGACTCCATTACTACCGCGACGTTACAATGATCCTCCGGAAGGCCGCGACTCTGAGGGACCTCACCTACCGCGGGCAGAAGATCCGCATCTTCCCCGACTTCACACCCGAGATTGCGCAACGCAGAGCTGCATTTAACGGTGCCAGAGCACTTCTTCGGGACAAGTCGGGAGTTCGGTATGGTCTTTTATATCCTGCAAAACTGAAAGTGACTTACAGAGGAACAGAAACAATGTTCACAGACGCGAAGGAAGCCCAGAAGTTCGCGGAACTCCACTTTGGTGCCGGTGGGGGCGGTGCGGGCGTCCCCGCGGCGGACAACTGATGCAGACGCGGAGTGGCTGGATTCTGGTAGTATTCAGTGTTGGACTGTCCTGGGATGTTTATCCAGCTAATTTTATATAAAGTTTAAATAATGTTTAGAATCTTCATCTTGGTAACATGATTACCTGTCTTAAGTTTTGTTGATAATTGAAATGGGCTGATATTTATAAATAGGCAGCTTATTTTTCATACCATTTCTTTTCAACCGTTCAGATGTTAGTTTGATGCTTAAATTTTATATTACTGCAGAGCCTCTTTTTTACTTCTAGTTAGGAGTTAGTAAAAAGGGAAGTTGTTAGTAGAGTAGATGTGTCTTCTTTGTGTGAGTGTTACTCTTAAGTTATGTTTTTTGTTTATTTTTTTCTTTTTAACTTCCTCAGAGGGGTCGCGCCTTACTTCGCAGGTTCTTCTTAGTATAGGCAAGACAGTAAGTGTTTTGTTAGGGATGGGCTGGGACTTGTTTATGATATATAATCATTTCTCTCACACTTATGAGGACCTCTATATTCCTTTTCATTCTAATCTGAGTTATGCAGGTTAATACAACACAGACAAAGAAGGGCGGACAAGTTACCTTGGTCACATGGAATGTTAAAGGGTTGAATAATCCTGTTAAGAGGGGTAAGGTATTAGCACACCTAAAGACATTGTCCAGTGATGTAATTTTCCTTCAGGAAACCCACCTTAATAAAAATGAGCACATAAAACTGAGATGTAGATGGACAGGGCAGGCTTATCACTCTACTTGTGCAGTGAGGGCTAGAGGTGTGGCAATATTATTCAAAAAAGGTACACCTTTCACCCTTGAGTCAACCATATCTGACAGGGAGGGCAGATATTTAATATTAGTTGGGAAACTGTACTCTGCTCCTATAACTCTGGTTAATATCTATGGCCCCAACAGAGACTCTCCACTTTTTTACAAACACGTTTTAGCCCAAATACCTAACATCTCGCAGACTAATCTGATTATCGGAGGGGACCTAAACCTTGTTTTAGATCCATACCTAGACCGCTCGTCAACACGTAGAGCTCCGGCCTCTAACGCTAGTACTTTCCTTAAGGAATACTTAAATAACTCTAATTTGTTTGATAGCTGGAGGATTTTCAACCCACAAGAGAGAGCCTATTCATTCCACTCAAATGTTCATAATGTGTACACACGAATTGATTATTTATTGATGGATGCAAAGTTACTGCCCTATACTAGCGAAGTAAAATATCACAATATATCAATTTCAGATCACGCCCCCCTTTCGCTAGATTTACATTTAGATCATTTGAACCAAACCGAAAGAATATGGAAATTAGACCCACAATTATTGAAAGAACCAGATTTCTGTAAGTTTGTCAAAGAGCAGATTATATTTTTCTTTGAAATGAATGACCTTCCGGGAACATCCCCTTCAATATTGTGGGAAACTATGAAAGCCTATTTAAGGGGAGGTATTATATCTTTTCGAGCAGCAAAGAGGAAAAGGAATCGTGCAGAGTTAGTGGATTTAGAGCAACAAATTAAGCGTCTGGACAAGGATAATGCTACACACCCTTCCACAGAAACCCATAAAAAAATTCTTTCACTGAGGTACAAATATAACCAATTATTGTCAGACCACATTACTAGAGCCTTCATTTTTACTCAACAGAAATATTTCGAATTTGGGGAGAAACCTAATAAATTATTGGCTAGACAATTAAGGAAAATGGAAAGTGACCGTACAATTAACAAAATTAAATCAGAAAATGGGGAAATTTTAATCTCACACAAAGACATTAATCATAGATTTAAGCAGTTCTATGAGTCATTGTATTCCTCCAACGCTGTGAAAGATGATTTAATTATACAGGAGTTTTTAGATAGTTGCAATCTCCAAACTTTAACAGAAGGAGACAAGAGCTCTCTTAACGCAAATCTCTCATGCATAGATATTCAGGTTGCTATCAAATCACTGAAAAGTGGGAAAACGGCTGGTCCTGATGGATATCCTGGGGAATTTTATAAAGAATTTAGTGACCTTTTATCACCTTATTTGCTAAAAATGTACACCCAAGCAAACTCAGATAATATCCTACCACCGACCATGAGAGAAGCCACTATAATACTAATACCAAAAAAGGATAAGGATCCTGAGGAAGTAGGTAATTACAGGCCGATTTCCCTATTAACCTATGATCAAAAGATACTGGCCAAAATACTAGCTAACAGGTTAACTCCATTAATGGATAAATTAATTCACCCTGATCAAACGGGTTTTATACCAAACAGACACTCTTTTTCTAATTTGCGACGTCTTTATAATGTGATCTACTCTCAGAAGGAGGAAGCTTCTGATTTAGCAGTTCTCTCCCTTGACGCGGAAAAGGCCTTTGACCAAATAGAATGGCCCTACCTTTTTGCAACCCTGAGAAGATATGATCTTGGGGAACATTTTGAAAAATGGTTAAAAATCCTTTACCATAAACCCTGTGCTAGAATTGTCACTAATAAGACACTAGCTTCAGCATTTCAATTACATAGGGGCACCAGACAGGGCTGCTCGCTCTCACCCTTACTTTTTGCCTTAGCCCTAGAACCCCTTGCACAATCGATTCGTGCCAATCCCCTTATACAGGGATACGTTACTAAAGGGACTATAAATAAAATTTCCCTATATGCAGATGATATCCTACTGTTCATAACCAATCTTCAGTGTACTATACCAACGCTCCTAGACATGATTTCTCAGTTTGGCAGATTTTCGGGTTATAGGATCAACTGGTCTAAGAGTGAACTGTTGCCAGTTAAGCTCAAAGACTCTTCGATCTTGGAAAGTATGCCATTTAAAATTGCTAAGGATAAGTTCACTTATCTTGGAATAGAGATTACTAGGGACTTTAATTTACTCTATGAAGCTAATTTCCCCCCCCTTGTGGTGAAGCTACAAAATAACATTCAATTTTGGAAATCTCTTCCTATTTCCCTGATGGGAAGAATCAATGCAATAAAAATGTTTTTTCTCCCTCAGATACTTTATCTGTTTCAAAATATCCCCATCTTTTTACCTAAGAAATTTTTTAAGAAACTCGATTCTATAATTGTTCCATTTTTGTGGGACTATAAAACG